CCCTGGGGGTCTTTAAGAAGAGGCTGGATGCCTACCTGGCTGGACTCATTTGAGTCCCGTTTCTTGTTTTGGGGTTTTGTTGTTCTGCCGCCCTGGCGGGGGGTCGGGCTAGAAGATCTACTAGGTCCCTTCCGACCCTAAATCTATGAAACTATGAAACTATAAATGCCAAAGTGTATAGGTATTTAGAACCCAATTTATTAGTACGATAGAGGCACTGGTAGGCTTCCAAATTGCTTTAAACTTTTAAATATATCAATAAAACATTGTCCAACCATTCTCTCTGTATATAGTGGCATTTAATTTTAATAGTGAAAGAACATGGATTTGGGGTATTTGAATTAGATAATTTGGGTTTCTTATCAGAGAACTTGTAATTTTTAAACGGGGAACACCAGGATCTCTGTTGGTGAGACAAGTGGCAAGACCTGGGCAGGGGAGCCTCTCCAGGGACGGTACTAGGGGGCCAGCTGGAGGGCAGACAGAGGTGGCCGACCTCCTGGCTATTTGGGACCAAGGGGATACGCTTTGACAGTTCAAAGCGGGCCACCATAAGAAGCATATCTTCTGGGTGATAGCTGCCCAGATGGCACAGCGGGAGCACCAGAAGACATGACAGTAGTGCTGCCATGGCCCACTTGCAGCTGGCTCAGAGGTGCAGGAGGCTCTGTTGCAGTTCTCATACCACAGCCTAGGAGGCCTTGCAGTCCCCATCCAGATCTGGCAGGCACGCAGCCACGGGGCCACAGGTGCAAAGGGGTGGCTGTTGTCGCAGGTGGCAGCAGGTTACAGCTAGGCAGCAGCTCCCACTGCCAGATTGCTGCAGTAGGTAGAGGGTGCAGGGGCCACTCCAGGTTAGGCATGCTTCAGCAGTCCAGCTGGCACAAGGGGCTGGTATCCCCAGATCCCAAGTGGCTGGGCCTCAAGCTCCTGAGGGCAAGTAGCCCTGAGCTGCTTGTCAGGGCAGGTTTTTATACTGCTGGGGCCAGCACAGGTGCTGGCCCCAGGCCCTAGCTCCTCCTTCCTGAAGATGTGGGGGGAGCTGGGCAGGGTCATTTTGTCCCAAGTGGCACAATTTGCCCTACGCCAAAGTAAATGTTCAGCCATGTGTGCTGAGGCGAACATCTCTTGCACAAATTTGTGCTGCTTCTATTTGAGCTGCTGCAACCTCACATGCCTGCATGTGTGGATGTGCCCAGTGGCAGAGCACCAAAATTTAATCATTGCGAAGCTGAGGATTTACAAATTGTTAAACTAAGCTGTGGAATAGCAGATGCATAGGAAATCCCTGCCCTTTTTATGTTGCAGTAACTTGTTTGTTTTTAGTGTCTACTGTGAATCGAGCCCTAAATTACTTCAGTGTTGCACAGAAAATCTGTGGCAAAGCAGGGACTTGAAAACAAATCCTAGCATAGTGGCCAACCAATAGATTATTTATTTGGAAAATGTGAAATAATCTATTTCACAGTTCTGCTGATTTATTTATTTATCTCTTCCTCCACCCCCTTCCCTCTAATTTAGGGTAATCTTCTCACAATAGTAATACTTTTTGGTGCTTTTTTTTGTATAGAGAGAACTTGCAAAGACATTTTAAGTCATTTTTTCCCCTCCTTTTATTTAGGTTTCCATGGGTGAACTACCAGGATGGGAATCTCAACATTTCTATTCCAGTTTTTAGTATCCATGGCAATCATGATGATCCCACCGGGGTAATTATCTTAATGATAAAGAAATTACAGTGTTGAGAAATATTCTTTTCCCTTTTTCATTATAATCGTTTGAATCATTTCAGTCCTCTTTCTTTCTTTCTTTGTTTTCTTTTTTAATCACTTTTCCCCCACAGTCCTCTGCTTTGCTCATGTCACGCTCAGACCACATCCAGTTTGAAAATGGACCATAAGAAACCGTATGATCTTTTAATTTATTCTAGGATCCAACTTTATAGTTGAGATAAAGGCACTATTGATGGAGAGAAGTAACAGATATTCAAAGAATATTAAATTTAGGTGTAGAAGCTAACTTTTTTTTCCTCATAAGACAAAAGATTCAGTATCCTGACTTGTAATTTGACTCCTTGTTGTCTATGTATTAGCTGTATTCTAGCTTGATGTACTTTGGTTGTATTTTTTTACTAAATTTTAATTGGATTATTTTTACAAAATAACAAAATATTTTTAGTTTAACCTCCCCCAATTGTTGCTAATAATTAGGCGCCTAGTCTTTAAATTATTTTTCTTATAGATTTTAATTTTGCATTTTACATAATGTATAATAGAGGGATTTTGCTTATGTTGTACAACAAAGATGAACCTTTTTAATAAGGGCAAAAATAACTTTGACTGCTTTCCATGAGTTACCATTTAACCAAGCTGGATTCTGTTCAGATTTTCTTTTATGATATTTGAGAGATTATTACTGTTTGTGTGAAGGCAAATTGATTAACTTTCTGTTCTTTATTATATGTGTAGGCAGATGCACTGTGTGCACTGGATATTTTAAGCTGTGCAGGATTGCTGAATCATTTTGGACGTTCGGTGTCTGTAGAGAAGATAGATATTAGTCCCCTTTTACTTCGCAAAGGCAGCACAAAAATTGCTCTGTATGGATTAGGTAAGCTTCCTATTTGCCAGACTTTGCTTAACCCTCCTGCATATTTCTGAGGCACGTGTAGGCTCCTGTTTTTTAGTGCAATTTTTTAGTGCAGTACCAACACGTCCGTTCCTACTGAGATTCTTATTCTGGTTTAATTTAAAGCCAGTGAGCCAGGTACATACTGTAGACTGGAAATGTGGTGTGTACAGTTGTGCTTTTCTGCCATGACCTTGCAACAATAGGCCATATGTGCCCTGTTAGCTGTAAGAATCCATTTTTGTAATTCACTCACCAACAGAAGGCAAGCACCCAAGAAACAGGTTGTACAGAATGTGCGTGTCTGCTCACTGCCGTTTTCATGCTTTCTCACACTGTATTCCAACTGAGTACCTGTGAAAAGAAAATTTTCTTTAGTTGGCCATATTGGTTTATAAAGCCTTTAATCATGTCTGTTCTGCGTAGAATTACATCATCCTCTGAGCCCTGTTCACTTTAGAATTGATCTCTTAACAATGCCATCTTCTATTGCTGTGCCTTTGGGATATCATGTTTGTTGCGGTATTTCCTATGATATATTTGCTTATTACACATTCTCGTCCCTTGCTCCTGAATGAAACCCCTTTCATCCTTTGCTTCCTTATTATTTGTGTTCTCTTGTACATCACTTTGTTTTTGTTGGCAAATACAAAACCTCTCAGTACATAGACTTATCTTTTTGTTTGCTTAGGCATTTTATCCAAATACTATTTCATGCTAAATTCATAAACGAAAGCAGAAGCTGGACAAGAACCTAGGTTTTCCCTTTCCCTCTCCACTTCCTCCCTCCTCATTAGCAGAGTAACCTCCTCACATGGCTTATAAATTTAAGCTCCCTCTTCCTTGTTCTCTCTTTTGCTTATCATGTCCTCAGCTCAGCCTAGTCCCAAGTCTAGTGGTTAGGATACTTTCTTGGGAGATGAAAGATGTGGATTTGAACCCTCCTCAGGCTGTGCAGTTCTTGACCTCTGAGTGACCTAAGTTGGTTTCTTGCAGAAAGCATAGGTGCCCACTAGGTTGCCAAAAGCATAGGGGCCAACATCTAGGTGGGTTAGCCTGGGTTTCTGTTAGGAGTGCACTGATAATGATTTTCTTGTCCGATACCAATGGCCGATGTATTAACCAGCCATATCAGCTGATACTGATCCGATAGCCGATTTTACAGGAATGCAGTCCAACAACATGGAGAGCAGCATCTGGCCGATAAGTCGGGGGGGGGGGGGGGGGGGA